TAAGTGGAAAATCACCAGCTCCTGCTTAGGTTAAACCAAAATATAAATATAAAACAAAATATCCATAAAACAAATAATTATAGATTAAAGCATGAATAGTTTGAACCTTAATTAAGATCTTATAAGATAAACCTCAGTGGGGAAAATGACAAAATTTCAATGACTTTTTTAGTTGAACTTTAACTGTAAACATGACTCCACTCCTGTATAGCAGTTGTGTACACAGGCTAAAATAAACTACACATTTACATAATGGCATTAGTACCTTGATAATAGCCTTAAATTCCTCAAACAACACAACATTTACAGCCAGGTCATAAGCTGTTAATTGATCGAGCAGTGGCAACAATCTACCCCCTGCGTCACGTCCAAACTCTTCCCCCACCCCACTCCTTTCACACACAGACATAAACAAACAAACGTGAGCAGAGGGTGTGAAACCTGCTTCCTTCGGGCTGTCAGGGCACAAACTGTGGAGGAGCCGGCGACAGCTGCACATGACACAGGAATCTTCATTTGAACTTTTTCAGTTGTTTCACTGCAATAAAGGTGGCCAGGGTGATTATACATTTAGTAAGATAAGATAAGAGATTCTTTATTCGTCCCATTTCTTCAGTACTTTAATTGCATTGTGATTTTATTGTTTCTCTTTTGTGAAGCACTTTGAGTTGCCTTGTGCATGAACTGTGCTATACAAATAAGCTTGCCTTGCCTAGCTCACGAAATAAACATAGATAAGCAGCTGTAAAGGTTTTTGAAATGTGGCATTAGGGACCAAAGTACCTTTTTTAAAGGCTATTTTTTGTATTTTGACTCAACTGACCAGTGTTGATCTATTTTATGTTTTATTTAAGTTTTTAGTACGACATTCTAAAACCTTGTTGAATTATTTCTGCTTTGATGTTAATGGATATCAATTGGGTACCTAAGTTTCATTCATAAACAAACAGAAAGAGCCTTGTTAAAGGAATGCTGTCTTGATGTTATTAGTAAACCTGTTATCTTTTATATACTGTACTTGTAAGAATGCCCTGGTAGTCACTATTTGACGCTTTGGGTTGAGAACTGTTTGGCTGTGTAAGAGTCGTCTTCTATTTTAACTTTTCTGTATAAAAAACTTGACAAGAGACAAATGTGAGAGTTATTCTTTGATGATGCAGTAGGATCTAAGGCAGATGTCCAAAACCTTTTCAGCTGAGAGAGCCAACAAAGTCTGCTACTTAAAACACATCTTATTACTGTGAATATGTGTGATTGAAATCAAGATCAACACTTTTAGAGTGTAATACTAGTCTTAGAATGTCATGTTTTATTAATACTATAAGCAACATATTTATGCCTACTAAGAGTTGTCTGAGAGCCAGACACAATTATCAAAAGAGCCACATCTGGCTCCGAGCCATAGGTTGCTGACCCCTGATCTAAGTCAATTCATTTCAGGACAGTGGTCATCCTGCTGCCCATGTGGTTGAATTTCTTTAACAGTTCATTATTCTCTCCTGAAACAGTAACATTTCTCCTGTATACGTGTTAAAACATATACTGTTAACTGAATCTTGACTTTAACAAATGGCCTGTCACAACACAATTCCAGGCGTGAAAACTACTACAGTACATTGTGCCACGGTCGCTCATCGCCTCTTCATCGGCACACACCGCACAGACGTTTTTATTTTCTCACTAAATAGTAACGCGGCTTCTCGTATCGAATCTTGTATGTTTTCACAAGATACGGCGCGTTCCAAAAACTTGAGAAACACCAAAACTGCGATACGTGATTTATGACGACTGTATGAAATAAAGCTGCACATGGTTAGTGATGGCGAGCTCTAATCTGTAGATAAAGACTTGGAGCTGGTCCTGGACTTTCGTGCCAGAAGTTGTAGGCTGAGCAACATTTCACATTTCAGGATACACTTGCACTTTAGGGTAATTTCCCGACCATAAACGTGGGTCCCTCAAGGAGCTTTAAGCCGGTGCAATGTGTAAGTTACTCATGTTAAGTAGTCCCCTGTGTCCTGGCAGGTAATGTGAAGCAGAGGATTTATAATAAATACAGCTACATTAGAGCGCCCACACCCATAATACGCTCCTGATGCATGGTTTAGTCCAATTTGGCAGAGAAAAAATTCTTCTTTTAGTCTGAACCCTTTTCCATTGATTTGTGTGGCAAGCATTGTTGACATGATTCATTTCCATTGATGAATCGATTAGAAGACATTGATCGGGTGACAAATCATTTTTGTTTGTGCTTCTTCTTCATAACATGGTACAGTCTTGTTCTCATCACAAGGGTTTGGAATCTCTGGGACGATCACGATACGATAATATCACATTATGACGATTATCAATATAATGCTCATATTATTTTAAACTATATACAGTATATATCATTATGTTGCATAGGCCGTATATTAGGAGTGGACTGACGAAGAGCTGATGTCACCATAGTGTTTGCCGAATGCGAGCTGGAGCCAATTTCCTAATATGGGCATTTGTTCCTTGTTGTTAAGGCAAGCTCGAGGTTCTTTGCAAATGAAGATTGTAAATCCAGATGTGAATTATAGATAGATACTTTATAAATCCCCCATAGGAGAAATTCAGGTGTCCAGCAGCAAAAACACATCCAAACAAACATAAATAAATAAAACTTACTTGCAATAGTAATAAAGTGCACATGTTTAACTAAGAAAGATAGAAAGGATCTCTGAAAATGTTCCGTTCTGCAGCGCGGGGATAGGAGCCTGTTGCTATATAAGGATTAACCAGAGACAATATCAAAATGCAGGGTCAAAGAGAGCGCTAAACCAGGGATTTTTGAAGCCTTCCATTCATGTACAGTAGATAGGTTCATTGCATATATACTGTACTTTGCATTAGCATATTAATAAACAGCTTTGAGACAAAATATCACAAAAAAAATCCTAAAAAAACATTGCAGATGGATCACTAGTTTACCGGCATTTATGTTTAAGGACATTTCTACACATTTATTCATATTTAGGCACAGTGGTCGTCCCGCTGCCTTTGGACCAATGGCTCCTACGTGTTTGTTATTATTGCATTGCCTGTGTTTAAAAATTTGATTCTCGGATCTTGTTGAAGAATTGTAAAGTCCTCTGAGGCAACGGCTAGTGTGATTTAGAGCTATACAAAATGAAATTGAATTGAATCAAGACTTACATAGACTCTGTGCCGGTGCTGGGGGAGGCTTTGGTCTGCTTGTACATATGATTGGTCCTGGTCTCCTTGTGGACAGGCTCAGTACTCTTCCAGCTCACCATCACAGCTGGAACCCTGGCCGCATGGTCCGGATTTAACCAGAAAAGACAGGTCAAATTCCAAAATATTGATATTATTTCAAAATAGGAATATGTTGTGAATTACTTGAACAAATCATTTCATAAGTTTGTTCTCACGTTCTTTGTTTGTAAGAGTCCACATAATGGAGCCAGTTTCCTTTTGTCTTCTTTAATTAAATAAAATCATAATTATTGTGTGTTATTCATGTCTGAGGCCCTGTCCACACGAAGTCAAGCTCAGGCCTAAACGCAAAAATACTTTATCAATCCAGTGTATCGTCCATACGAGGCCGGCGTTTTGGGGGGGTGTAAACGAACATTTTTGAAACTAGGTCCCAGAGTGGAAAGATTTCAAAACTCCGTATATGCCGCTCCGTGGTTACTGCCTCTCCGCAATGTATCTGAGACGCTTGCGTCATCGCCCCGCCTCTTGTTAAAGCACGCATGCGCCGCACTCAGAAAATAATGACAACAACAATGTAGCTTGTTGGTTTTGTAATCCAGTGCGACCCGAAGCAACAGTTCAACCTCATCGTCCGTCCATACTAATGTAGTACCAGCTCGCCCACTCGCCATGTTGTCTGTTTACAAAATTCTGCGCATGCCCAGTTCCCGTCACGGAAGTTTGGGCTTGATCCCGTCATTGCGTCACAGCGCCACCAACAGGTCTGGCATAGTTTCACACCGTTTTCAGGCGTATTGACTACATTCATATGGACGCACACATTTACTGAGCTAACTCCGTGTTTACAGAAAAAGTTTCTGAAATTATACGCGTTTTGTCTTCGTGTGGATATAGCCTAAGTAGTATCATTACCCTTACTCAATTCTCTCATCATGTCACCTTTTTATTGCCAGACTTTTGATGATTGTGTCTGGCTCTCGGACAAAGAGACTTTTTTGGCTCTTTCAGCTAAAAAGGGTTTCTGAATTCTGGTAAAGGGGAATGACTTGTTAGCTGTTTTGTAATTTTTTATAGCAATATTTTTATATTAAATAATAATATGATCCACAAATGTCAATAGTATAAAGTTGAGGTTGAAAGTTTGAACACGCAGGCAAAACTATTGACCGTTTTTGTACATATTTTGCAAATTATGAATAATAACAGTTACAATAACTCATTGTTAGGGGTCGTGGGAAGCCATTTCTTGTCAAATAAACATGTTTTCTATTTTCAAATGAGGATTCTAACATGAACTCCTCTTGTGACCCTGATCAGAAGTGTCCATTCCCCAGTTGAACATAGCATGTATTTATTATTATTTTTTAAAATTATTAATATGAAAAAAAAAAAAAAAAGTTTACACAAAGAAACAAAAACATACATTAAAAAATATGTTTTTATTGTTATTTTGGTTGATGTGGAGGAGGTTCTTTCTCCTCTTTGATGTTAAAGCTGTACATTCTTCTTGCCAAAAAGTCTCCAGTTTCTGCACATTTCATGGATTGGTTTTAAACAACCACAACAACCACTTATGATGTGTGAGAAAAATGTGTTACCGTTCATAATCTCAAAAATGTGGTCAAAGAAATCTCTGACAGCGTGTGTAAACTTTCCAACCAGCAATACATTATACATCATACACTAACAAAAAATACAACATTGGTCAAATTTTTTACTTATATGCATCTTTGCCAATTTGACTTTGCCATAGCCATACACACTGAAAAATCTCGCCTCTCCTCTCTCCGTAGGCTTTAAACAACAACGTCTACAAGAACGTGTCTCCCTATGGCTCGCTCAACAACATCGTGGACGGCCTCAACTCGCTGACGGACCACTTCTCCGACCTGTCCCTGTCCTCCGAGCCCCGCAAGCCCAACAAGAGACCTCCGCCCAATTACCTGTGCCACCTCTGCTTCAACAAGGGCCACTACATCAAGGACTGCCCCCAGGTAACACACTCCCTCAAAGCGGATAGCAATCGTATTCTGAGCTGTGGCTTGTCATTCACAAAAAAGTCCAATACGTGTGTGTGTGTGAGTATAAGATATAATAAGATAAGAGTTCTTTTATTTGTACCACAGGGGGGAAATTTCGATGTTGCAGCGCACATCCAGGACAGTAGTAAGAGCACACAGGGAGCACACAAAATATACAAAATAAGTAGTAGCTATGTTTCTTATCTAGCATTTTAGTATTTACTTGTATACAGATGAATTAAAAATGTGTATGTGTGTGTGTGTGAGTATATTGTGTGGATCTGCAGATAATTTTTAGTAGGAAATTAAATAAAAGATGGTTGAATTACTATCCTTTGCATAATTCTACTGTTGCTATGTATGTGTTTACTTGTGGCAGAAAGGAGAACATTTTCTTCTGGTAAATTGGTCAAAATTCTGCTAAACTTCCATTGGCACAACATAGATATACAGTATTTTGACTTGTAAGGTTAAGGTCCAGACTTGGGGAACCACTGTGGACTGGCTTTTACTTTCAATTTGGACAAAAATATATCAGATGTTGTCACAAATAATGTATAGGATTGTGGCTCTCTGTATTGATTAGACTATTTACTTCTGAATTGAACTTAGGGCTGAGGTATTTCTTTATTTCTTAGGTAATACCAAGTAAGACCAGAACCTTCTTCCTCCTTATACTATTATAAAACATCAAATATTTGGCATACATAAGAAAGAGCCCTGTGAGTCACTATTGGACTCTTTGGGCAGAGAGCTGATTGGCTAAGCAACGATGGTCCCATCTTTTCCACTTTTTCGTCTCTAAAAGTTCAGCCTGAGAAAGTTTTCTTCTGGTTACGTGGTAAAATTTCTGGTCCCAGAGACTTCCAATGGCACAACATCAGGCTCTTAGAGTTACATAACAGAGAGGCAGGTACTGGTTTCATTGGTTTTGCATTAAGTTATACATTTATTGACATCATGATAAAAAAGTGCTTAGGTATGCACAGATGATATCCCCTCAAATTATTAATATTGTGATAAAATAATCTGTTTACTACTGGCTGATAAGAAAACATAAGATATTTACAGTTTAAAACGCAATTGGAGCGATTTGTAATAAGTTAACTGAGATTTCAGAACAGTCTCTTAAACTGGTATCGGTTCATATCGGTATCCGCAGAAATTGAAGCCAAAATATCGGGATCAGAATCAGACTTGAAGAATCTGGATCAATGCGTTATTATTGTTATATTATTGATACTGTTTGAAATTATTGCATCCCGTCTTTGTTGTCAAGGAAGGTTCTTTGGTCATGTGTTTGAGTTTGTCTAGTCCAGTGAGTGATTACAATTGCTAAAATGTGATTAAGTTTTTAAGTTTTCGTACAAGGCTTATCACCCCGATCTGGTGTGTTTTAGTGTGTTTCTGTGATTTCTCCACTCCTCTCTCTCCTCTTTCTGCTGCGGCTCTGACCTACTTGTGGAACAGTCCGGCCACTGTCTTCTGCAGTCATGAGTGTGTGTTCCGATGTGTGCCTGTGTGCATCTAAACTGCCCCAAACGATCACTTAGAAACACTATAAATAAGAGGAGGCTGTCCGGCTACGTTTATATATACGCGCGTCTCTTTTAAAATTGTGGAGTATTTTTAAACGGCTGATTTGTGGGCTTGTGTCAAGTACGGTTAGGAGGATGTGAGTATGAAAGGTTAAGAGTTGGACAGCGAAAAGAACCTCGAGAGGAGCTGCTGTCATGACGACGTCTCACACACGGACGGCAGAGAAAAAAGGTTTAAAGAGACGGCTCGTGCTAAATAGACTTTTTCTCCATTTTAGATTAAGGTTCATTTTATTTGCCATTTGCCTTTAAATCACATGGGAAAATATTTGCAAAAGTCCCCAGTGTGCACCAGACATGTTCATAAAAAACAAGGTGAAAAAATACAGGAATAAAACAAGCTAAAAGCAAAAAAATTTAGCAAAAAATGCAAAAATTTGGCAAAATGTATCATCAATTGTAGCACCTGACTGCCTTAAAACAAGATTTGCCAATGGGACAAGCAAAATGATCGGCTGCTTGTGAAGCAGCAGTGCTAATTTACATCTGTAGTCCTGAGCATGTTGTTGTAAATCACTTACCAACAGCTGAAGGAGCAAATCAAAGCTGAAAGATTGTTTTAATGACAATAGCCCTGATACATCCATGTAAAAGCCAAAATCACATACTCAACCCTTCCTGGTAACGCCTCTCTGCTGTTAAACCCTCAGGAAGAATGTGTGTGTGCCTGTCTATAGCCCTCCTGCTCTCTGGGGGCGCTCTAACAAAATAAAAATATACACATTGGCCGCATCATCATGAGTAAGGCTTCTTTGCACAGCACCTTTCACAGACCAGGTACACAAAGCGCTTCACAGTTAAAAACATACAATGACAAATAGAACACATACGAGTCAGTTCCAAAAGAGAATATACACAATAATCATCAACACACTTCAGATGGGCCTGTGTTCGATGAGGCGAGAGAGATGCCTAAACAAATGGGTCTGAAGTTGGGACTCGAAATTGTGACTATAAAGCCCACGCAGCTAAAAGCTAAAAGTAGCTGCTTATAGTCCATTTGTTTTCATAAAGATGAAGCCAAGACCAGCTTCTCAGATTGGACAGTCCATATAACTCTCATTTTATGGACTTTATTTTATGGACTGAGGAATAAACTGTTGTTATTCAGAAAAGATCAAATGTAATTGGTCGTGTTGACCTGTTTTGGGGACACATATGAAAGATGCCGATGTCGTGTAATATAAAACTCTGAAATACTGTCCCTTGAAGCCAAATCTACAACGTTGCAAAGAGACCACTTTGTTCAACGCTGTTTGATTTTGGGGCAATAAGAAATATGGAGGATTGTGATATAATTCTACACACACTGCATCTTTGTCTTCCTTTGGTGAGGATGACGGATGATATTACAGTGTGATGTGTTCTGAAGCTTCAATTACAACAACAAGGTCCATATTTTATGATGGGATACAAAATGAAGGCCACATCATCCGGCCCTCAGAGCAAGAGCAGTGATAAATCTGCTTTTCATAGTTCACATTTCTGTAACTTTGGACAAAACACTTGGTATTAGAGGTGCAACGGTTCATCACTGATCCGTGATCCGTTCGGTTCAACGTCTTCGGTTCGGTACAGACGTTATCCGCGGTTTGATTTATGAAAAAAAAGTTGTGCGCACGTTGTTCAGTCCACACACAGCGCGGTCATTGCGAGCAGAGGAACGGAGATGCTTGAAAGCCCCGCGTCATTTAAATCCCCAGTATGAGAGCATTTTGGCTTCACTGTAACTACACTGATAATTAATATTCGACAAAACTGTCACGATGTGTAAGCACTGTGGCACAAGAAAGACATGAGTGAAAAAAGCGTCTCAACGACCGCTTATTGTCGCGGCATTTAAGCAGCTCCTTTACGCACAGTCAGACCGGGCTAGAGTCAACTCTCCCGCGCATCCTCAGCTCAGCTCACGACTGACGCTTGGACGTCCCGCGGAACCTATAATAGATCCATGAGCAGAACCGCTCACTTCATCACCGCAGACTGGGAGATGAAAAGTCTGGCGCTGCAGACACGCCCCTATACGACAGTCACACTGTCACCCAGCGCAGGTACTGACACAAGCAGCGGAGGAATGGAAGACAAACGCCCAGTACTAATATCCCAGTCACAACTGATAATGCCAAAAATTAAATAAATGCAGTGAATGAGGCTGGGCCCAGAATGGAGCGCCTCCTCGAATCAGGAAGGTGGTGTAATATATGAGAGTAAATATCCTCATAAAGTGCCTTCTTATGTTGCACTTTGTGTTGTTTTTCATTAATTATGTTAAATAGACATAATTGGATGGATGGAATATTCCATCCATCCATCCATCCATTTCCTTCCCCTTAATTCATTTCTAGGTCAGGGGGGGCAGTCAGAGCAGGTGCCGAGTCCACATGAGCTGTGTTTATTAAAAAGACAACACTTTTTTTTTGAAAAATGAACCGAAAAATGAACCGAACCGTGGCCTCTGAACCGAGGTACGAACCGAACCGTGATTTTTTCAAACCGTTGCACCCCTACTTGGTATATATTATCTGCATGGAAGCCACTAAGCCACATTTAAGTCTGTATACATATTACTCAATCAGTCGTTTATTTGAAAAAAAAAATTGTAGGTGTAGATTCTTTTGATGATTTATGCATGATGTGATATGGGTTGTGAGCATAGACTGTAAAAATTAACGGACGTAGTCACGCCTATCTCCGCCGTTCTAACTAATGGGCCAAAAAATTTGCTCTACTGGAGCTATCCAAGATGGCCGCGAGTGGTCCCGCCCACAAGAAAACTCATGCGTCCGCCGGCGCAGCTCCATTCATTTGAACGAGAGACTTCAAAAATTCACAGCGACTAAACTAGAGTGGTCCAAAACAATTCACCCCCCTCAGCATTGACACACATGTGGAACGGCGCTTTGGGCCAAGAGCCAACTTTTGGTCCATCCTGTAAAGACGTTTTTGAGAGGTCTGCCAACGCTATATATGTTAGCATTGGCTAATTCTTCTTCTGGGTCCACCCCCATCGGCCCGGGGTGGTATGTCAGCGCACGTCATTTTGGCCACTTTTGAGCCGGGACCCGCCCCCACTGGTTGTGAGGCGCTTTGCGTTGCCTTGTGTAGGAAAGGCGCTCTACAAATAAATGTTAATTGACTGATTGATTTGTTTGGCACAATTAATTTACAAGACCGTTCAAAGTGCCTCACAAGAGCGATTTAAAAACAGATAAAAATGCATAAACAAGTGAATGAAATATACAACAAGTATTGGGCTTAAAACTCTTAAAACAGTAAGATATATATAAGTGACATTTATAATATAAGCCACACTACACGATAACGTACTGTACATTTGTTCCCACTAAGTGGAGAGGGCGGTTTTTTCCTAAAATA